ACCTATTTTCTTTTGAGAAATGTAATCATAGGCTAGTACATAAACTTTGAGTTTTTATATTTGCTTCCTATACTAGAGTTAGTTTGGGAAGGGTAGCTCAATTGGATTGATTATAGAGGTTAGGGTACTAGAGTTATTACCTTGGGTTATAGATTTGCAATCTAAAACTGCTCATTATAGTTGGTGATATTTTGAGGCAAATCCTACTGGGGTAGGTTGTGGACTTTACTCCCTTGATCAAGGAGGTTTTCCACATAAAATTGCATGTTGTTTAATATCCGTACTTTAATTTTTATTTGTGTTTGTTAGTTTGGTTAAAGACCTGGTTCTTTGTAATCGCAAAAATCGGGCAAGACACAATTCAACTCCCTTTCTTGTTCTGAGTTCTGAGTGAACCCTAAAATAATAAATCAGACCAGGTTCTTTTATAAAAGGCTAACACATTGAACAGATAAGCTATGGCTGCACCACTAGATGCTCAAGAAGGACAACCAACCGTTAGGCCGCCATTTTTAATAAAAAATACTATGGTTGATAGAACGAGAGGGTGTACGACTTTCTAGACGGAGAAGACTTGAATCTTTGGGATATTGTTGAAAAACGACCTAAGATTTCGATGCTGATTGACGACAAAGGTGGTCCCATTGGATCAAAACCAAGAGATAAATATTCTGACGAACATGTCAAACGAGTGCAAAAGAATGCTAAGACCAAAAGATCTTGGTATGTGAATATTGCGTCCCGTTTTCTCACAAAAGCGAGTTTCAACGTGTAACAACTATTTTAAATGTGTATTAAGAGAAAAGAGTCGCCACCTAACGATTTTAGGGTGCGTTAGGGCACCTATTTGCAAATAACTCCGTTTTAACTAGTCTGTGTTACCAAAGATCGGGTAAGAGCTCAAATTACCTCGAAGAGAAGGTGTTAGGCACTCTTCGAGGTCCAAAACTGTGAGTCTTTGCTGAAATTAACACTATGTGAAATTATTGGATTATAATTGTCCTACGCGATCATGTAAATAACGGAAGATAGGGAATTTAAATATTTGACTACGATATAAAATAAGTGTAAAGAATATTGCACATATGAAGGAAATAGGCTATACATTAATAGATGGTTAGTACAAGCTTTTGGAGATTACAAGGTACAACCTAATTTGTTCTAGGTCCGAAGAAACAAAGGTGCGGGTAATAAACATATAGGGGTCCTAAGTTTTCTATCCTAAAGGATCACTCCGTGCAACTTAAATAATATTTTACAACTCCTTTAAGATAGGGATTGATCATATTATTCAGCGGACACAGACTATTATCTCCTGCTACCCAATTACTATGTTAAGGCTGCTTACCTAAAGTGCTCTAGTTTGATCGTAAACCGTGTCCTATGCGTGCATTACCCATCCCGTTAGGTGGTTATAGACTTTACTTTGGACCTACTATTTTGGTGGTTATAGGCTTTACTTAGGGTGCTCAAAATGATAAAACTAGGTGCACATTCAAAAAAGTAGAACTGCATATAATATCAATGAATGGCTTAAGTTAGCCTCCACACATAGAAACAAAAGCACGTGAACTGATTTCAGATTATGTAGTAAGGTGTTGTAGGCAATTTTAGAAATTGAGACACATTAAAGTCGTTCAAACCTATAGTCATGGCTTCTACGTTGTTGCATGATGTAGTAAAATCTCATAGGCAGTACTGCTAGTCAGATTATCGAAATTACAGATTATAATCGTTATTGAAAGCCTATAAACATGATCTCTAGGTGACTCGTGCTGGGTAGTGAAGTCGTTAAAAAGCTCAGAATTATTCATTTTTGATCCTATAGGCATTGCTTTCTAAGTGAGTAGCAATACCCTATAGACATATTTTTGAAACAGTTGGTATTTGAACACGAATTCGTCATGCTTTTTTTTATAGGCATGTTTTCTAGGCAGACAATGTGATATGAACAACAACAACATCAATTTAATTAATCAATTAAGGCTCTATAGACATGGTATCTAGATGAGAAAATATTAATTACTTAGTGTGATCATATAAACATATTATCTAGCAATAGCACAAGGTGAGCAAGTAATCAATGATGTTTGAATCCTATAGGCATGCTATCTAATATCGTGTAGAAGTGAAGCATGTAAATGAGTGAAACACTTAAATTCTCATAGACATGCTTTCTAGCAATGTACAGGAACATGATGTGCAAAGCAAGTGAAGTGCTTACGTTCCTATATGCATGCTTTCTATCGGTGTATACGAATAGAGCTCATCAAAAAACGTAGCAAACAAAGCATGTAGAGCATATTTTCTACCCATTCATGCGAGAATTAAAGTGCCCCAGCCCCATTTTTCACTAATTTCCCCACCATTCAGTTTTACAAGCCCAATTACAAATATAGAATAACCAGTAACATATCTGGGCCTTCAAATAGGCTTAGAACTTCACGCGGACAGCAGGCCTGAATTCCAGGTGCAGATAGTGTACTTCAAATCCCCAATACCAAAAGCAGGCCCAACAGACCAGACCTCAAAGGATTGAAGTAACTAATATAATGGATGCCAAACTTAACCATGCAAGTGAAGAACTACTCAGGGAATTAATTAATAGCTTTTTGCACTTAATTCTTAAAGCTGTATCTAACAGTAATTCCAACCAAAGCACATAGACAAGATCACATGAAATATTGACAAGTTGGCAAGGCAGATTCATGCTTATATTTTCACAAACAAAGTTAGACTGACAAGATTGACCATCGTATGCTAGTGAGTTATTCTAAAAGAGTTTCAAAAGCAAAATGATCTAGAGTTAGCCTAAAGAACTTTTAGACAAGAGATTTAAACATGAAAATCTGGTAGAGTCATAAAGAAAAAACAAGTGGGATACAATCTTCCTATTGAGTGTTTAACATGAAAGCCTAGTGAAAGTGGCATACCAGAACATGTTCATGAGCAAATACTTGGTTGAACATGAGACAACTTTAACATGATGAGTATCATTCAATACCTGAAGAACTTATGGTAAATAAGTAACATGTCAATTTTCAGATTAAGACAGGCAGGCATCAAACTTTGTACTAGCAGGCCACATATAAGAGAAAAGGCTAGGTATGAGATTTACCCAAAGGTCTCAAGTAATACCGAAGAACACAGGATTGCACAAGTCAAAAGCATACACTAGAACAATAAATAGCGCGAAAACAGGTCCTAGCTAACAGTACAACCCCATAAACGTAGCATGTTGGGCATGAATTACTCAACAAGGACTAGAACACATGAGTTGGTTATCATAATAATACAAAACAAAGCAGAAAGACAAACTCAGGGCAAGCATCAGGTATTAGCATAGACGCAACAGGCTAAACAAGTTTAAGAGAACCAAAAGTCGTTTATGCTAAACACATGTGATAGGCTACATCATAATTAGTAGGACATTGATTCATAGAAATTTCAGTGGCACAAAGCATAAATATGAACAAAAGAGAGTGAAATTTCTAAGGCAAGAGGCTAACCAGTTGCAAATTAATAGACAAGCCAAACAAGAAGAATAATCTCAGTAGTACTCCAATCGTCAATAGCAAAAAAGAGCACCATAACCCCAAAATTCCAGTGCGTCAGAGTTCCCAAGGATTTCAAGTGAACCCCGGGCGTTGCTCGCACTGAGAAAAGAGCTACAATCAAATTCTGGTGACCTTGCTTTCAGCCGGTCAAGGTCTCAATTTTAGAATAGTAGAATGAGTGAGAGTGAGAGAGAGAGAGAGAGAGAGAGTAATAGCAGTAGTTAAGGTCCCCTAGAGGAATGGGAAAGGGATTTATATAGCAGTAAAACTGCACGAACATACAAGGAATTACAGTCAATCAAACACAAATAATGAAGGAAAAGCATGCAAAATCGACTTAGAATCAATTTAGGAGAACAATCTGGCAAACCATAATTCAAGACGAAGAACAAAGAAAATCAAAGATCTCATTGAATGGGACCCATATCGACTGGTAGTAAATGTATCAAGTTAAGAATATGAAGATAATACCGAATCGGAGTCGAACCAAGCACCCACTGATCTGCCCCTATATCTCCCACCTCTTTATCTTTCCCTTTTCTTCTTCTTCTTCTTCTTCTTCTTCTTCTTCTTCTTCTTCTTCTTCTTCTTCTTCTTCTTCTTTCTTTCTTTCTTTCTTTCTTCCCGTCTCTCCCACCTCCCGTCCCCCTTTTCTTGCAGCGATTCCCCACTGCCCTAGTTTAGTGGTGGTGACATCTTTGTTGGGACCCCCATTACCTTCTGTACCCCCCGTCTCCTCTTTCCCTTTTCTTTATTGCTGCTGGTCAGATTCCTAGACCTAGCAGCGGCAGAAGAGATTTTGCACCGAGATGATTTTTTGGCAATCCTCGGGCGACGTGCGCGGGAACTTCTAGAACATAGCTGCTGTGGACAACACCTTTCTCGGCACCCGTTGGGACTCCAGGTTCTACTGTTCCTGCTTAGAATTTTTTCTTTGTTAATATTTTGTCAGCTTCCGTTTACCCTTGATTATTTTATTTTCTTTGGCTTGCTTGCATTTATCTGCCATTAGTTGTATCACCCGTGTCTTTTGTGTGCCCAAGTTGCATTATATTTCAGCTTATATTTGGAGAAACTCCATACCCATCTTTCGGATCTCGAATCGGTTCGGCATCTACTTGAGCAGGAAGAATAAAGGTTTGATCCTCTCGGTTTGCTTGTTTTACGCTTTTCCTGATCGTCTGCATTTGTAGTAGTCTAGGATTAATTTATATCCCGATGTTTTTGCTAGTGTAATGGCTATTCTGAGCGATAGTAGTGTAAGGTCGTGTCCTCGGATGGGTCAGGGGGAGGGTCAGGTGGCGGGTCAGGGGGCAAGGAGCAAGAGTGGCAAGGGGGTAAGGATTACACTAGGTCAAGAGTTGGATCCTAGAACATAGGAACACTGATGGGTATGTCGATAGAATTGGGGAAAATTCTCCAGAAAAGGAAGATTAATATAGCATGTGTCCAGGAGATTACATAGGGGGTACGAAGGCTCGAGATGTTAATGGGTATAAGCTTTGGTATTCGAGGGATGTTAGAGGAAAGAACGGGGTAGGTATTTTAGTTGATAGGGATCTTAGGGAGTTAGTGGTGGATGTCAGGAGGGCGAATGATAGGCTGTTGATTATTAAGCTAGTGGTTAATGTGTTCACTTTTAACGTGATTAGTGCTTACGCGCCTCAAGCGGGACTGAGCGAGGAGGTCAAAAGGTGCTTCTGGGAGGATTTAGACTTGGTGCTAGCTAACACAGGTTTTCAGAAGAGGGAAGATCACCTGGTCACATCCGGAGTAGGGTTGCCAGGACTCAGATTGATTATCTTCTCCTCAGGAGAGGTGATACGGGCCTTTGTACGAATTGCAAGGTTATCCCGAGTGAGTGTTTGTCGACGCAACATAGGCTCATGGTAATGGACTTGGAGGTCAAGGGAGCACGGAAGAAGAGACCGGTGTACGACCAACCTAAGATCAAGTGGGGAGCCTTGACTAAGGGAAAGGCTCAGGAGTTGGGGGAGAAACCGTTGGCTATGGGAGCCTAGAGGAGTAGTGGGGATGCGTGCAATATGTAGACCATGACAGAGAACTACATTGGGGAAGCTGTTACGGAGGTGTTAGGGGTCTCGAAGGGTTACTCGGGTGGCCACAAAGGGGACTGGTGGTGGAATGAGGAGGTCTAAAGAAACGTAGAAGTTAAGAAAGTGGCATATTTGAAGCTAGTGGGGAGCACAAATGAGGAAGAGTGGAGGTCGTATAGGGATTGTTATAAGAAGTCAAGGAGTGAGGAGAAGCTCGTGGCCACGGTGGCTAAGACTACAATTATTGAAAGATTTTATGAGGATCTTGGGGACAAATGAGGGGATAGAAAGCTGTACAAGTTAGCTAAGATTAGGGAGAAGAAGGTTAGGGATCTGGATTGAGTGAGGTGCATCAATGACGAAGACGATAAGGTATTGGTGGAAGAGGCGTGTATCAGGCGTAGATGGCATGAGTACTTTCATAGACTCTTGAACGAGGAAGGGGATAGGAACATCGTGCTGGGTAAGTTGGAGAACTCAAAGAGTCGGAGAGATTTTGGGTTTTGTAGGCGTATTAAGTGTGAGGAGGTTGATGTGGCAATACAGAAGATGAGCAGGGGTAAGGCGACTGGGCCTGACGAGATCCCGGTGGAATTTTGGAAAGAATCGGGTAGGGTAGGCTTGGAGTGACTTACTAGCTTGTTTAACATCATTTTCAAGTTGAAGAAGATACCTGAAGATTGGAGGTGGAGTTTGACGATTGCGTTGTACAAAAACAAAGGTGATATCCAGAACTGCAACAACTATAGGGGTATCAAGCTGCTGAGTCCTACTATGAAGGTTTGGGAGAGGGTGGTGGAGAAGAGAGTGAGGACATGTGTATCTATCTCTGAGAACTAGTTTGGATTTATGCCGAGACGGTCAACTACAGAAGCCATTCACCTTGTCAGATGATTGGTGGAGCAGTATAGGGAGAGGAAAAGGGACTTGCACATGGTGTTCATTGACCTTGACAAGGCTTATGACAAAGTACTGAAGGAGGTGCTATGTAAATGTTTAGAGGTTAGCAGAGTCCCGATAGCGTACATTAGGGTGATTAAGGAAATGTATGAAGGAGCTAAGACTCGGTTGAGGACAGTGGGAGGAGACTCGGGACATTTTCCTGTGGAGATGGGGTTGCATCAGGGATCAACCCTTAGCCTATTTTTGTTTGCCCTAGCATTGGATGTGCTGACATGACACATACAAGGGAGTGTCATGGTGTATGTTATTTGCTGATGACATAGTACTGATTGACGAGACGCGAGGGGGTTTTAACGCTAGGTTGGATGTTTGGAGACAGATGCTGGAATTTAAAGGTTTCAAGTTGAGCAGGTCGAAAACTGAATACTTGGAGTGCACGTTTAGTGATGAGAGACATGAAGAAGAAGTGGAAGTAATGATTGATACTCAAGTCATTCCCACAAGAGATAGTTTCAAGTATCTTGGGTCTATAATTCAAGGCAACTGGGAGATTGATGAGGATGTTACTCACCGCATTAGAGCGGGTTGGATGAGATGGAGTCTAGCTTCGGGGGTTTTATGTGATAAGAATGTGCCGCCTAGACTTAAGGGAAAATTCTACAGGGTGGTGGTTTGACCGGCTATGTTGTATAGAGCTGAGTGTTGGCCCGTCAAGAAGTCCCATGTCCAAAAGTTGAGCGTAGCTAAAATGAGGATGTTGAGATGGATGTGTGGACATACCAGGAAAGACAAGATTAGGAATGAAGTTATTAGGGACCAGCTGAGAGTGGCATCTGTGGAAGCCACGTTGCGGGAATCGAGGTTGCGGTGGTTTGGGCATGTGAGGAGGAGAGGCATAGATGCCCCGGTCAGGAGATGTGAAAGGTTGACCACGGAGGGCTTGAGGAAAGTCAGGGGTAGGCCAAAGAAGTATTGGGGAGAGGTGATTAGACATGACATTTCGGTGCTTCACCTAACAGTGGAGGTTGAGGATTAAGGTATTGAGTTGACAGGTAGTTGTGAGTTTCTCTTAGGTTTACCAGTAGTACAAGAAATATTCTTGTTGTTGGTTGGAAGTCACTTCCTTCTAGTTTGTTATTATATCTAGTACTTAGTAACCACGTCTATTGTTTTTGAAAATTGCTACTAGTATTGTTGCTCCTTGATTGTTACTATTTGATGCTACTTTTTCTCCCCTTTTACTGGAAACTGTTGCTCCCTGATGGTTACTATTTGATGCTACTTTTTCTCCTCTTTTTCCTTATCGTCTTTTTTCTCCCTCTTCTTTCTTTCTCCCTCTTCTTTCTTATTCTTCTTCTTCTCCCCTATTCTTCCTTTCCGCCTTTTCTTGAGCTGAGGTCTATCGAAAACACCTCTCTACTCTCCAGGTAGGGGTAAGATCTGTGTACAACCTAACCTCCCGCAGACCCGCTTGTGGTATTATAACTCGGTATGTTGTTGTTGTAATAACTGAGTACCAAACACTGTGACATCGAGGAGATGGTAAGAATATCCTGTGTGTAAAAAAGGAAAGGAAACATGAATGATTTTCCATGTAATATTGGATTAGGGTTGGGATTTGAAGGAGGTGGCTAGGGGTTTTTCTCAGAGAGAAGTCGAGAGGCGCAGAGGATTTAGGGGCGACGGTCCTTGAGAGATGGGTAAGGTTCGTGGTTTGGGTAATAAAAGGGGTAGGGTAGGCGAGGGCCGTTGATCTTGAGAGATCAACAACCAGGATTAAAAGCTAAGCGGGGGGGGGGGGGGGGTCGTTCGGCGGTTCGTGATCATGTTGAACCAAAGAGGTCGTTTGGTTTGGGTTAAAAGGATTGGTCCAGGGATTTTGGGCATTTGGGCCATTAAATTGGTCAAAAATTGGCCTAATATTGGCCTGCTTTTATAATGCCCAAAATTAATTAAAATAAATGTATTAAAATGTCTAATAAATAGAAAAAAAAAATATTATTTATGCAGTAAAATGCTTGAATATAGGCTATTATTTTAACTAGTGTAGATAAAATAGAGAGAATGCAATATAACTATTTAAGAATAAGATGAAATATTATAAAATGTATGTGGGTATAAAATGATAAATTTGATGATTAAGTCACCCTAAAAATAATTTAAAAGGATAATTAATAAATATTTGAACAAAATAAATGCAAGAAAATTTATTTTAAAGCTTTACTAATTATAGAAAATTATAGATGATATTTTGAAAGTATATAGAATACTTTATATAATGTGAGGGCAAAATTGGGTATCAACACTGAGATTGGACCAGATGAATACAATAGAATCTTAGCATGCAAAGATGCAACGTCTATATGGGATGCTTTGCAGTGCGAACATGAAGGCACGTCTTAAGTTAAACAGTCAAAAATTGATATGCTAACCATGTAGTGTGAATTTTTCAAGATGAGGGAAAAACTATTTTGGAGATGCATACAAGGCTTAATTGATCATTAATGAGTTGATATATCTTTGAGAAATTATCACCACGAACAAAATTGCAAGAAAAATTCTAAGTATACTACCACCTTAATGGGATAGCAAGGTCATGCAATTACTCAAGCAAGGAATCTCAATACTGTGACTAATGATGATCTCATTGGCAACCTGAAACTTATGAGTTAAACCTGAATCAACATCGTCTAGATTGTCTGGCTGCAGAATCCCACAAGACCAAGAACCTGGTTCTTATGTCCACTCAGAAGTAGGACACTAGAAAAGATGATATGGCACTACTTACTAGCATTTCCAACGAGTAATCAGGAAAGGTAGTTCATCCAAACCTAAAGTCATTGAGAAAAGCAACAGAGATTGATGCTACAAGTATGGTTAGAAAGATCACTTTATTAGATACCGCTCACTAAGGGAAACTGAGTGGAAAATAAAAATCCTGAAAAGGCCACCGGGTTCCTGGTGGTAGATTGACCAAAAAACTATGGATAAAATTTTGAAGAGAGCATTGATTTCCATGGAAGCATCTTTAACTGATGAATATGATGATGAGGAAGACCAGTTAGTGATGGCCAAGGAAGATAGTGATTCAGAACTCGAAGATCTTTTTGCTCTAATGGCAAACTCAGACTCTGATATTGATGATGATGAAGAACTAAGGAAAGTTTCAGGAAATTAAGAACAACATTCATACTTATACTAAGAAGAAATTGATCTCTCTGTTTGGTATCCTGATTGATGCATATCAAAAGCTTTCTCCTAAAAAGCAACAGTTAGTAACTGTATATTTATGTTTTAAACATCAATACCACACAAGAGGGGGGGGGGGTGATTTGTGTGGTACCCAATTTTCGCTTAAACTGATTATGGAAGGACCTGGTTCATCTATGTGTTCCAACTACTACTGTTTGCGGAATAAGAAGTACATAAAATAAAGAACACAGAGATTTTTACGTGGAAAACACATGGCTCAAAAGGTGAAAAACCATGACCTACTACTCAGTAGGATTTTCCCAAACTTCCACTAAAATCACTGAGCCAAAACAGCATTTACAAAAACTCTTTGTAAACCTAAGGATTAACTCTAATCCCGTTGTAGCAACCAACCTCTAACTGTTGCGACAACTTAAAGTTAACTCTAACTTGAATACGCAAAGTACCTATTACAATTGCTTCTAGATAAAGCTGAAAGGTACAATATAAATTACCAACTACAATTGAACTAGAAATAAAGAAAGACACATAAAACTCTTTATGGAGCTGGTTCTTCAATCTGGTTCATGTAGCTTCAGGTTTGCACACTTGAATCACACACGAACTGCTTGCAAAAAGCCTTGCTCTTTTGCTCTCAATTCACGTTTAACTTCTGTGTTTTTGTGCAACATGTAATGTGAGAACATCCTGCAATTTATAGAGTTAGTAGATGAAGAAATAACTAGAGTTCTAATGCAACTCTTCCTTGGTGGAAGAGCTCTAGTTGATCTCAACTTCTAACTCCTTCCCTATCTTGGATAATGTTCTCTTTGAGTAAGGAGTCCTTCTCCTTATCAGTTATGCAACCT